GTATAGTATATATATATACTATATATATATATATATATATATATATATATTTTATTATATATATATATATATATATATATATGTGTGTGTGTGTGTGTATTCAAACCAGTTCGTTGAGCTCTAACCGACCCCAGGCATGCATAGCAGGCCATTCCATGCAATAATTATATACCTACACTTGCTTATATACTCTTGCGTATATATTCTTACTTGTAACCGCTGCACAGGAATACCAATTAGTCATCAATGAGACCCAGGACCACTTTGTACTGCTGGTGTCACAGTTCAAGATGATGGGTAGTGAAGGCAGCGATGTTGTGGGCGATCCTATTGACATCATGAGAGTGCCGGCGGTATGTGCATTGTAGTATGTTGGGCATACCGACATGTGGTGTAGGTAGTATGCAGAAGATCAAATATATATGTGTACATGTATATATTAAACAAAAGATCAAAACGTACATATGTACACGTATATATAGCTGCATGTGCTATATGTAATAAACAAAAGATCAAATTTACATATGCACACATATATATATCTACATCTACTGTACGTAGTAAACAAAACATCAAATGTACACATGTTCACGTAAATATATCTACATGGGCTATATGTAGTAGACAAAAGATCAGGTCTACCTGTATTGTATGTATTCAATAGTATATAACTACGCGTGCAACATTAGTTCTATTTATATCTCACCACTCTCTTATACACACAGGTCATGGATGTATTCAATCGTATGTCGGGGGGGCCGCATAGAGCTCCAGTACGCCCACCCGCAACATCTACACGGCCACCCACCTCATCACGACGACCAAACAGAGCCGCATTCGTTGGTATGCGCTTATCTCTATACAAACCTGTGTGGTAGGTACATCCCGATTCAGGAAAACCCTAAACCTTACAACCCTAAAACCTTAGACATACGGGAAAATACCGTATAGCTGAGAGCGACTATGGTAGCAGGCACTGCTTTGGTGAGCGATACATTTGTATTGCTATGAGTGTGTCACATGCTTTTACAAAAAACTATCTTGGATAATAACGAAAACCCTAAAACGCTTTAACCCTACATGCCATATCTTCTCATGAATACCACATTCTTTCTTTCATTTCAGACGCGGCGACATTAGACCCACTCATATAGGGTTTAGGATTTCAAATGTAGGCGTGTCCTTGGGTGCTGAAGCATGCAGGCCCATGATTGTCATGCAAGTACAACCGTATACATCAACACCTATCACCACATGTCATTCGCATTGCCCCGTGCACACGAACACCATGTATCTGGCTCGTAGTTCGTGTTGAAAGGTTGTTTTAGGGTATTTAAGCCCTATACCCTTAGAGGTTCAGGCATGTGACTATACCTTTAGTGGTTCAGGCATGCGAGTCCATGATTCTCATGCATGTACAACCTAATCCGTTTCCCAGCGCACACGAACACCATACCGCTGACCCGCCTTGTCTTCATTCCGAAAGCGCAAGAGGAAGCTCTGTGTGCCGTGAGTGGATGGGATACGACAACTGACACGGCCTACCACTTATTGTGGCGCCGCAACTTCCAGCGAATGTACGGGAGAGAACCTACAGCCAACCCTGGAATAGGTGTGTATACTTGTTGAGTTTTGAGGTTTAGGGCTGTTGGTATTGCTTGACCTGTCTGAACGG